ATAAACCGTGAGAATTCTAAATCTTTGGCTCATAATCTCCTCGCTACCCAGAGACAGTCTTTGGATATTCTGATTTAAAGAATAACCCTCTGTAACAAAAAGGATTTGAACCCGGAGTACAAGGGAACCAACCCCCTTGTGTTACCACTAGGCTACCACGCCTTTTAATTTGTTATTATTGGTTTTTGTTCGAAAGTCATTTTAGCATAGGTAATCTAATACAATGGGTTCGACGTTGGCGAATAGATGTCACAATATTTTAAATTCGTAAGTAATTTCTGTTTTTTGTCACAGTTCGTACAGTAATTTGGACATTAAAATAATTTCTTGTCATCGTGCGTAATTCACTATTCAATCGATTTCATTATTTTCTTTTGTTATTATAAACTGGTTAACGTTTCGAGCTCAAACCAAAATTCAGGTGATACACTTTAGTTCTTAAGAAAAAATGATTGCGAACTATGAGAATTATCATAGGTTAACATGTTACACAAAACATAACAACTAAAAAAATGTATTTAGAACGTGGTGACGTCGTGATATTTTAAAAACATATTCTTAGCAAAAACATAACAACTAAAACAATACTTCATCCGTTCAAAATAAAAAAAATTTATTTTTCTCTCTCGTTTCTCGAAGAGAATAGGGTTGAAACTCTCTCGTTGAAATCCTCTTTTCCTAGAATCTTGTCGAGAAATCCTTTTGTATAATGTTTTTCTTCTTAACCTGGTGGTTTTTTATTGGTCGCTCGGCATATTCTGACCAGGGTTCATCACCTCCTTTCATTGGATGTCACTTATCGTATGTATAGGCTGGGTGGAGTAACCCATTTTCTCAAGGGTATACCTAGCCTGTTTTTGGATGTCCACGATAAGGTAGGCCTACTTTAGACCGTACATTTACCTTTTGTTCATCTCCCTCGTACATATTATTCCAGCGCTCGCTTTTTCGCTGAGTGGTTTGCATAACTCTTGGATGATGGTATGTATGGTTAACGCCTATCTAATTTGTCGTGTACGGTCTAAAGTAGGCCTACCCTATCGCGGACACCCAGAAACAGGCTAGGTATACCCTTGAGCAAATGGGTTACTCCACCTAGCCTAACATAGAAACTTCTTATTTGTTGGCGCTAAACCATCCCTAACAATTGACCCCAACTCCTCATCTTGTTCTCGTTGGATGAAAGATCGGTAGTGAAATATTCGTTGTGTTTAAAGATGAATGGTAACCATTTCCTACAAAAAAAAACTATTCAGAATATGGTTATTTGTTCTTACTCTATTGGGTTTTAGATTGAATACTCCTTCTTGACATATTTTCTAGATCATGTCGACGTTTATCCGACGATGATTGGGGCACGTTTCCAATGTGTATGGTCTACCTAGCTTGTAGCATAAGTAGTTTTCCATTAGTCTGGGGCTTTGGATCAGAGCTTCCAAGCCATGGCGCTAACTGTGCTTGACATTGTCTGTAGTTTCCCAAGGGAATGATGTTTTATTCTATCGTGAGGGACATTTTTTCAAAGGGATTAACCGTATAGTTTACTCATCATTTAGTAAGTGGGGACATATTGTATCTCCTACTTGTCTTGTATGATGGACTTCACTCCATTGATCTCATGGATCGAGGCTGAATGACGATGCTAAAGGCGATAAATACCTACCCAAAGACCCTTGGATGCCTTGAGAGGAAGAAAGATGTCTCCGAGTGGTAAATAACTCAAAAAGGGATCGTTACTTTTTTGTGCAGGGACAATCTTCATGTTGTGTTCTACACGGTAGTTTTTGTTGGTTTTGAGAAATCACGAAAGTACGTGCCTAGAGGAGCATACAAAGATTTGGTGTTTACTTTCATATCTTCTGCGAGGTGGGGCGTCAGAGTTAGGCTTGTATGAACCAAGAGTTGGTCTTTGAGCGAAGGTTGCTTGTGTCTGTGGAGACAATACCATTTTCAAGCGTGTGTATACATTAGTTTTGGTATCTAAAAAGGCAAACTAAATAAAGACTATTGGGTGTGGGGTCAACGTGGGGTCCACGTGGGATACGACTAATGCACGTCTAAGACATATGTGGTAAAATGTTATTTAAAGACCGTAGTTAGACGCGAATTATGATAGTACCATTTAATCTTAAGGCGTTTAGGAAACAAATAAGCATGAAAAATCCCAAGAGAGAATTAGCAGTCAAACAGTCGAGCAATCAAAATTTCGAGGAGAAAACAATTAATCAAGAATCCTGATAAGTGAGCAAGTAATAAAGCAATCATGAACTCTAAGGAAAAAAAAGTTTTCAAGCAATCAATTAATCAAGAATCGGAGGGCAAATCTAGAATCCCAAAAAAAAATTAAGTAATCAAGAACCTTAAGGGAAAATTAAGTAATAAAACAATCAAGCATCCCAAAAAAGTAATTAAACAATTATAACCCTAAAAGAA